GTGTCTTTTAGAGACAGAGTCTCCCTATAGTCCCAGCTGGCCTGAAACTCACTATATAGACCAGGCTGGCCTCAAACTCACAGATGCCTGCCTCTGCCACCAGAGTGCTGGGATTAAAGGTGTGCACCATCATGCCCACCCCTTCTGTGTTCTTTAAATCATTTGTAGATTATTTAAAATTCTCAGTGCAATGTAAATGCTAGATAAATGGTGCCTGTATGCCATACTGTTTAGAGAAGAAAAAGAAAAAAGTTTGTGAGTTGGCTTTCACTATACAACCCAGGCTGTTCTCAAACTCTCATATTCCTGCCTCAGCCTACTGAATACCAGGATTACAGATGTCCAGCACCACATCTGGCTTCTTTCCCAATATTTTCTGTCTTTACATTTATTTCTGTCTGTTCTTTCTTGTTAGCTATATGCACTCTCCATGGATAGAGCCCTGCAGATAAGAGGAGAGCCAACAGAACTTGGTTTATGGAGTCAAATGTGAATGCATCCTTCTTGTTTGATGGCACAGGTCATAGAGGATGCAGTTGCTCAAGGTGGTCATGAAACACTGGGACACTCCTCATGCACACTGGTAGCCTTGGCCATCCCTGTAATCACAGTGTGTATTCCTGAGCGCCAGCACTACAATGCCTGCTCACAATGACCTTAATGCAAAAGCTACTTGATATATCAGATCCTAAACCACAGTTAAACCACAGGAAGGAAAAAGCAGGCAGCCTGGAGCACATTCCTATCACAAGCACAACTGCCTCCCACTCAAGCAAAGAAAATGCCAAACCTCAGCCAGCTCCCCTGGCATTCCAGTGTTCCTGACACCAAGTCCACTTTCCGTACTTCACAATCTCAAAACAGCTTTCAAAGGACTGGAGGAAGAGCTTGGAGGCTCAGTTTCAGAGCACTTACTTGCTCAGCACTACAAACCTCTGATTCCATCAACAAAGCAAAGTGAAAGGAAGAAACTCAGACCAATTTCATCTGGCATTGAAACTCCATCAAAACTTTCCACATGTCCTCTTACCCTGAAGACATCAAATCTCGAAACATTTTTCCTGCAGTGAGTTTAACAAACAACAACAAAAACAAAACAAAAAAACTCCGGAATGGTCCTCTGAATATCTATCTCCATAGGAACCCGGCCTTAGAAAGTGCTGGGTTTGGCCAAATGCCTGAGCGCAGCATAGGCCCAGCTCTTAGGAGACCCTGGCGCACAGTCCCTAAGAGACCACAGGGCCGGATGGTCCCCACGCCCTGGGCGTGGACCCCGCGGTCAATCTCAGGCTCCAGTTCCCCAGGATTCAGGAGCTGTCACGGGCACAGCAGCCCGGCAGGCACCATGTGGCCCCTATCCCACACCTCCTCCTTGATCCCGGGGTCCCGGGGTCGGCCGAGCCACTGGCCGGCAGAGACCCAACTTACCCGGCGGCGGCGACACCGACCAGCGGCCTCGGCGCAGCAGAGGTTAAGGCCCCGCCACGCCCACCCCTCCCGCCCCTCATCCCTCCCCCTTCTCACAAGCCGGGTCCCAGTGTCCCCAGCGAGCCCGCAGCAGATGCCTACCCGACTCTTGTGGCCTGGAGTGGGAGAGAGCTGAGTCCAGAGGTGGAGGTGCAAGCGCGACCACGGTCTTAAATACCCGCAGGGCGCGGAAGCCCGTAATCAGGAAGCCCCAGGCGGGGCCCAGGGTGGTCTCAGGCTGTTTTGGAAGTCCTGGTTGTAGAGGCTGTCCTGACCTCATAGGTCATAGCAATGCCTCTGACTCCTCTGCCCAGCAGATGTTAATGGCAAATCAGGCCACCATCCCAGGGGTGAGTTTTAAAACCTAAAAGAATGCTCAGAGTATCTTACCCCCTTCCCTTAACCTCTTCAATCATTTCTTAAAAAAAAAAGTTTTATGTGCCTGAGTGTTTTGCTTGCATGTATGTAAGTGCAAAACAGGCCTGCTTGGTGCCCTCGGAGCCAAGAGGGCATCAGATCCCCTGGAACTAGAATTATGGATGCTGTGTGGGTAAGCGAATAGTCAGAAAAGAGAACCCTGGTCCACAGCAAGAATGGGGATGCTCTTAACCACTGAGCCCCAAACTCTTGAATCTTTATGATGTCAGTTGTATTCCTTTTGGTTTATCCTTCCAGCATATCCTATGCAAAACTACAACATGTGCATATACACTGTAATCCCCTGGAACTAGAATTATGGATGCTGTGTGGGTAAGCGAATAGTCAGAAAAGAGAACCCTGGTCCACAGCAAGAATGGGGATGCTCTTAACCACTGAGCCCCAAACTCTTGAATCTTTATGATGTCAGTTGTATTCCTTTTGGTTTATCCTTCCAGCATATCCTATGCAAAACTACAACATGTGCATATACACTGTATGTGTATAGATTAGAATTCTCTATATTTCCTATTTATTACCAAAGGGTACATTCTGTTATCTGTCA